AAGCGCTCTAGTTCATTTCTTTCAATTTCGATCGTTTCGCGCAGTTGTTCCTCTGCGACTCGCTGTGCATTTTGAAATTTAATGCTTTTATCAGAACCCGCAGCCGTTATGAGGCAAATGGCGAATTGACGTAACTGGGAGAGTGGGGAGGGGGAAGTGATGGTTTAGATCTTGGGGGATTGTAATAAGGAGGGGACGAGGTTGTTGACTGAAGGGGATTGAGAATTTGCTTGAAGGTAGGAAGTGAAAACAGCAGCGGGGCTTATCGGAGGAGTAGGTTATTTGATGCTGAGAAAAAGTTAGCAATCTGGAACGCGACATCTAGAAAGGAAGCCCGGTGACACAGTTTTTATGGCTCGTACCCGAATCCAAACGCAAAAATGAGTGCATGCTGTGGGGCTGAGCCGACCGAGCCGAGATTTAGTAGTTGCCTGTTGTGACGTTTGCGATACCCTCACAGTGCGGTCACTGAGCCGGTCCACTCAGAGCCATAATTCAATAAATCCCCTCATTTCCGAACCATTTCTCTCATTCCCTTTGTAGGCAACAGTACGGTGCACTTTTGGCTTCATTTCATGCCACATCAAATTTAGTGCTCTTTGCTGTATTTGAACTAATTTTTACACTGAGCTTTGATCACCAAGCTCAATTTTCCTTTTTTTTTTTCTCACAGACGAGTGTTTTGGTCTTTCTCTTCCAGCACCGTGGACATTGATAATTTGATCAGCTGTTGTTTTATTCATGCAGCTGGCTGGCCACTTCTCCATTCTTCTTCATACTGGTCCTCTCTCGTGCGTATAATTTTATACCTTCTGACCCTCCCACTTCGCATCGATGCCCGTCCTTGTGTTCATTCAGCTTCGTTATTATTCAGTAATCCGCTTTGTCTCTTACTCCAGGCACGTGGACAATCAAAATCTTCCTGAATGTGCATTGCCAGGAAGATTACGATCTCATACAAAAGCACCGCACAGCCTCTGCTTATGCCGCAGTAGAGTAATTGCTGTCTGTACAGTGCGCGTCATCTCTTCGACTCTTATCTTTGTAATAATTTTAATTTTCTTTCTTTTTTTTTCAGTGATCAGACTGTTCCAAGAGCGTCAGACGCAGTGGCTTACATTATGGCAACTACCGGCGATGTCTCCAAAAAAATTAGAGTAAGTTGTGTATTTTTAATTATTTTAATCGTTAACTCTCTGATGAACTAAGATATCTGGAACACATCTGCGTGGTGAGTAACAGTTGCGATTAAATAAATTTTAAGGCGAAATGTTCATTGCCGAGAGGCAAAAAATTTTGCCAAAGAAGCACTAGTTTTAAACAGCAAGGCATCCAAATCAACTTGGATTTGCTTAATTATACTGAAAGGCGAAAAATCAGATCTGAAAAGTAAGCGTGAAATTTGAAAGCAGGGGTGTAAACAGTCAGAAAGCGAGTATATGCTAGTTTAGCCACGAACTGAAATATACACATGCATTATGTGACATTAAATTGATGCGCTAATAGATCACGCGTCTTGACCGCTGGACGGCTCAGTCGCGTAGCCACCGACTGTTTGAATTGTCCGTTCAGCAGGAAATGAGGATATTATTAGCTAAGGGAAGGGGGAGGGAAGCGGAATGGCAGAGAAGATATACCTAAGGTCTGTCAAATCTAGCTAAAAAGCTAAAGCCGGTGGGACTTAAGCTAACGAAACTTTGAGTTGATGAAACTTTTGACACATCTAGATGCCGTTCATGTACTGTTTAATTTGGAGCGTTCAAAAAAAGCCCCGTCAGTGTAAGTTGTTTTTACAGGCAGCCATAAAGGCTAAGCTGGAGGAACTTGGCGTATATGTTGACGACGAACTACCAGATTATATCATGGTTATGATTGCTAATAAGAAGGAAAAAGGACAAATGAAGGACGACCTACTTTTGTTTCTGGGAAAAAACGCGGGAAAATTTGTCGAGTGGTAAATTTGTTACTTAAAACTGTAAAAAGGGAACTTCGAAAAAAGAGTTTTTAGAAAGAGACCCAGACTGGAACGCACCAGGCGGGCCGGTGCGATTATGCGTTTTTGCACTTTTCGTGCCGTAGTAAGATCGCAAGGAATCAGAGTAGCTAACCCTGTGAAATACTGGCCCTCGAAGTTCAGGAAGTTAATTGTGCAGCTATGTGGTATGTCAGTTGTAGGTGTCGATTTCAGTGACCCGGCAAATAGGAAGTTGCTGGTCCGCAAAAAAGGCCACACTAGGAGAGTTAAGTTTAAAATCTTTTAGTTGCACAGGAGCAGGAAACATTCCATTAAAATTAAAGCCTTCAGCTTTTCCCGTTCCTGAGTTGGCAGTTTTTCGATCAAAATTTTCACGTGTCCGTACGTGAGTACTGGACGGTTTTAAGGAGCTGAATTTAAAATCTTTTGGTCATACATGAGTAGGAAACATTACCCCAAAGTTTCAGCTTTTTAGCTTTTCCCGTTCCCTGGTTAGTAATTTTCGCGCCAAAATTTCCACGCGCTCGTATGTGGGCACGGGCGCTTCTAAACATCTGGTTTTCGTAGTACATGAGAGTAGGAAGCATTCCCCGAAAGTTTCAAATTTCTAGCTTTTTCCGTTTCCGGGTTAGCAATTTTTGCGCAAAGTCTCCACGAGCTTGTACCTGGGCTCGGGTGCTTCTAAACACCTGATTTTGCTCGTACATGAATAGGGAACATCCCCTTAAAGTTTCAGCTTTCTAGCTTTCCCTGTTCTCGGGTTAGTGATTTTCGCACCAAAAATTTCACGTGCCCGTACGTGAGCCCCTAGTGGTCCTAAGGAGCTGAGTTTGAAAGCTTTTGGTCGTGCATGAGTGTGGAACATTCCCCCAAAGTTTCAGCTTTCTAGCTTTTCTCATTCTCGAGTTATGAATTTTCCCGCCATGATTTTCACGTGCCCGTACGTAAGCCCCGGGCACTCCTGGGCAGCTGAATTAGAAATCTTTTTGTCATACGTGGGTAGGGAACATTATCGCAGGGTTTCAACTTTCTAGCTTTTCTCTTTCCCGAGTTAGCGATTTTCGCGCCGAAACTTTTACGTGCTCGTACGCGAGGCCTGGGCGTGCGTGAGGGTTGGAACCGCGGTCCTGGAGTGGCACCTGACTGGGAAACACACCGGCGAAATTTCAGCTTCAAAGCTTGCGTGGATAGCGAGTTGAAATACCCGAACAGACGAAC